GAATCTGACAGCTCTGAATTTACTCACAAATTTGCTTATGTAAAATCTCCATAGGCCACCTGTAAACGAGTTGTTCTACACTATGCTGTTTGGATGTTGGGTCACTTCTTTATAAGAGCAGAATTTCTGTATTCACGTGCTCAGCAGTCCATCTATTGAGTTACAGCAGCGCAGTGGGACCTAAGCTGTGCCTTTTTCCACAAACTTGTGGCAGACGAGAACAACACCTGTAACCATGGTGATCAGACCCAAAAAAGGGCGACTGCTGAAACCTGAAAATGTTTTGGGGACATTCAAATTACAAACTTAAGTGGCTCGACTTTTCAGGGGTTCTTTTTGGCTGAAAGAAAAAAGGGCAGAAAATTAACCATAACTACTGTGAATGGAATCACACTGAGTCAAAAAGTCAATAAAATGATCAGTTTTCACCACTAACAAATATACACAGACAAAAAAGAAAACTATTGTTTTGAGTTTTGTAATATTTTACCAAATGTTTCAAAAAGCAAACATCTAAGGGAAAAAAGATCATTCTGTTGACAATCTACTGAACTGTTCGAAGGGGTTTGACAAACACTTAGATAAACAAATGATGGTGATTCGTTTTGCAGCATGCAGTCCTCACAACTTTGACTTATATGGACAACTATTCTCTGACTTCTGCTGTTGATTAATTTGATAAGTATTTTGAGCAGTGGTGACCAACTTTTCCCAAAATGTTGTTCTTATTTAGGCATAGAGACAAGATGACTGTCATGTCAACAAGAGTAAATTCATCTCAACGCTGTCGCCAGCTGTAGCAAAAATCAAAGACTCAATTCAACTGACTTGGCTTCCTTAGATAACTTTTAACCTATAGGCTTTGTAACCTGAATGCATCATACCTGAACTACATATAAAATAAATTTGATTCATTTTACAAAAATGTCTGGCTAGTATAGCAACATTTTAAAAAAGAATAAAATTGCAGCTTGTTTTTTGTTTGTTTTTGTTTTGTTTTTTGCATTTTAACCTTTGATTAGAAATGTTGGACATTTAAAGTAACTACAACTTAATGATGCAAGGATATTTTGAATAGTCCAAACCACTATTAAATTACAATATGGTTACTTTCTAGTTATTGTTACAAAATATTTTTGCATCACACAAACTATTCTTTTTGCATCTATCCATTTCTTCAATCCTGTGATGCATTGTCAATTTTGCTGGAGAATTTCATACCAAAATGTTGTCTCTTGTCTCTTGCATGCCAATACAGGTATGAGGTAGCATCAACCTTTAAATCTATAATACCGTGATGGGACAATATCATAACACCCTTCATTATTCAGTGTTTATGGGGACCTGAAGATCTTTTTTCTGGACCAGCTAACAGGATCCTGTGCTTGGCATTATAGCTTTTGATTTGTTTTCTGCTGTCTCTTACTGTTCTTCCTTCTCTGTTGTTTTGCTGCACTTTTGGAAACACTTTGACTTTAAAAGTTCTGTTCACAAGCATGGTTGATATGCTCAGACTCGACCGCTGAGATGAAAGTATCCTTACTATCCTCGGTGGGAGTTGTGACACATGTAACAACAAAGCTGCTTCCAGATTGTGCACAAGCTCATGAGTCTGTTTTACCCCACATCGACTGCCTTTCTGATCCCTCCATCCTTTAAAACCATTTTTTTGTGGGGTAACAATTGTCCACAATTTACTGAGGTTTAACTTTCAGATGCACACAGAAATCCTGTGGTGACAGTCGATGTCTAGGAAGTGAATCTATGAAGATATTTTTTAGCTAGCAGTTCTGACATACTGGACAGGATGCTTCTATGCAGAGTTCCAAGGCTGAACAGTCTTAACCTAATGACGCATTCCAGCTAATGTCACATTTGATTATTTTACATTAATGAAGTTACATTTTTAAATCTGATTCAGCACTTTTTAAATAACACAACTGACCATTTTGTTCTATTGTTGTGAATTGGTTTTACTATTTATTTTGACCACTTACTTCTAGAGTTTTTAAAATGATAAGATATAAAATCAAGCATCAACAATGTTAGCACAGCATTGAATAAAAGCCAGTAAAGTTATGAGACTAATCTCCTTCATCACCTTTTGAATGTTTTGTTTTTCATCTTTAACTCACCATCCAGTACCATGGACAGCAGCATGCAAAAAGTCAGATTTAAATTTGATTGGAACACTGTGGGTGTTCAGTGTGGGCAATAAGACTTAGGACAGCTGTTTTTTATGTTCTTTAAAAAAAAAGAAAATCTCATTTACTAAGGAAAAGCATTGTATTTAAAACAATAAGAAAATCAGACAACACTGTTTAGTCTTATTCAATTACTTTTAGACTCTTTGAAACATGGTTATCCTGCACGATTTAGACAATGGGAGTTTATCATCTTAATTTTATGATGTTTTATATTTGATCATAAAGCCTAACAAATACATATTTGTCCTTCGATATAAATATATTCATCAATGAGCTTGAAACAACCGATAAAAAAATGTGACTGGTGATTATTTATATATTCTTTTTAAATTAATTCATTCACATTAAATCAAATAAACTAAAAGCACATGGGTGAGAAAGTGCAAGTGACACAAAATACAATCTTCTCACGAAACATGTGAAAGAAAACACGGTTGGAAACAAATCAGTAGAGACAAAAATTGAACCTAACCTCGAATAGCAAACTTCAAATATGTCCTTGATTTATGCTTTTCTTTCATAAAGATTTAGACTCAAATCTTGTTCTGACAATTATGTTTTATGTCATTGCAGCATTTCGAATGTCTACTAACGAGATGTGTCTGGTGTTTATCTTAGAGTGATTAAAATGTTACTTAGAAAGTGCTAAATTGGACTTTTGTGACAGTTTATTAGGAAAACTATTCAGTAATTTGTTTTAGTGTTAATTAAATATATTACCTTAAGTGATTTGACTTGAATGCACCTTGGAGTTAAAGTAGGCATCCTGAAAGGAGTCGTGTTCTCTTCTAAATTGTCTCAGAAAATCTGGCCTGCAAAGGTATGAATAAAGCTTTGAGCTTCATCTAATTAAAAGTGCAGCCCCAAACAGTTTCTTCAAAAATGCAGCTCACTGTATAAGATAAGGTCCCAAAACAAACCAATTTACTGCAGCTAACCTTATGATACAGGGAGAAACTGACAGAATCAATATTACAGCAACGTCACCAGGGATAAGATGGATTTAGGCTTTTTGTTAACATATAAAAACACCTTTGAAAATAAATTTGTAACTGTTTTTTTTTTGTTTTTTTTTTTTTTTATATTAACTGTTTTAAAATTTGTACTGATGTGCAGCTGTGTTTGTCTTCTATCCTTCAAACAAATAGGCTAGAACAAATCATTTTGGCTGAGGCTCGCCGATGTCAGGCCTGGAGTCGTTCCCGTGTTTCTAATTAGCCCTGGCTCCGACATGCCAGCCCGCAGGCCGGCGGTTGGCATGAGGCAGTGGGACAGCCCAGCTGCCCCTGTATCCCTTGCTCTGCCTCGGGGAGAGAGATTTCTGGGGCCACTGCTGCCTCTGTGAGCAGCAACGAACAGGAACCTGAATCGGAGGAGAAAGGCGGCTCACACCCCATGTAACCCTCTGTCAGAGCCAATATTTCATGGTTTAAAAGGAACTCTCCATCAGCAGTCTGATCATTACAACCTGTCCCTGCTGCCATGCGTCACTTTCACACTTTGTAGTGCATCTGCAAGCTGAGGTACATGACAACAAACTGGCTAGGAACAAGCATTGTGCATTGATTAGCAGTAGACAAGTGTGAAATTAGACAGAGGCAGGTGAGACACGTTGGACACAGAGAATTCAGATGCAATAGAAAGCCTTCCTCTGCAATGACGGCATGAGCACAGCAACTGGCATTTTTGCCAAACCAGCAAATGTAAGAAAATGGAAAATGTGGAGTGTTGAATTTGAGGGGGCACAAATATAGATGGATGTGCAGTTTGAGGAGAGAGTGGTCCACAGAATGGGAGGGAGTTTGCAAAGAGGGGAGAAAAGAGAAAAATGAAGGGAATTTTGAGATGAAAAAGGAGAAGTTTAATAGTGTAATTAGGTTCCTGATAAGACCCTCGATGATTGGCTTTGGCCCGACTCCGAGACAGCTTAGCATTGAGCCCAAGATCCTCATAGCCTACCATCCCTGGTGGAAGTATTCATTCCCCTTGAAAATGTGTGCATTCTGTCATGCTCCAATTACGAATGGTTTGAAACATTTTTCATGAATGAAAATATGAAACTGTGGCATGTATTTCTATACAGCATCCCGACACTCCCAGGACAATACCAAATAGTAATCACTATATGGCTTTCTTCCCGTCTGTCTTCTCAGGCAAATTAGTGCTTGACTTCCTTGCCCAGCCTTTTAGCTTTGGTGGAAGAATATGCTTTAGGTGCCACAATAATTTAAGACAATTCTCTGAACTCTGTCAAATGTTCAAATGATGGGTTGTTTTATTTATATAACTATTAGTTTATTTGCTAATGTTCTCTAACAGAACAGCTGGCTAAATACTGTGATTAAATTTCAAGCAGGTGAAGGTACTGTAATTCATTTAAGGGTATTAGAGTAGAGGAGACTGAATGCCAATGGCTGCCTTACTTTTCAGATTTCCTTAAAAAATTATTGACAACAATGTATCTTTTTCCTTCCACTTTACTACTTTGCAACTAGTAAAGAGAATAATTGATGTTTGTGGCTATGTGGGAGAAAATATGCTTAGGAATACTTCTACAAGGCATAAGGATTTTAGACAAACACACAGACCTTTTTGTACTCATTTGTTTGGATCTGGCTCCACTGAAAACTGAGTCAATTCCAAACCCTGGGATATTTTGTCAGCTTCACCAAAAAGACCCACCAACAAGAGAACACACTGAGGAGTAGCGAGCTGGCAAGAGAGATGGCTGTGAAAAACCATCACTCGCAACCACTCTCACTTACACACTGTCATGCACACAAGGCAGCTGGAGAAGTGCAGACAAATCATCTTTTTTTAGGAGCACAAATGGAATGTTATCTCAGAAAATAATGTTTTTTCCCTCTTTATATTTAACAATCCTCGGAGATGCTTCTATCACCACTCATCTACACTTTTTTTTCCTATATCAACAGAAAGATCATGGGGGCATCTCAAACCTACAGTAATGCCAAGTCGGTCAGGTTTGTGGAGTGCCTATCGAAGTCAAGGTAAAGGAGCTTACTGGGATGAAGAGGGGGGAAGAGGTAGGACAGGGAGAAAGGGATGACAAGGAGAGTCAGAGCAAAGAGAGAGCGAGAGAAGGAGCAGACAATTGCGCTCAGCTCCTCTCCAACAAACCCATTCCTCGCCTCCTTCAGGCAAAGCGGAGTAGCGGCAGCAGCGTGCGGATTTTCACTTGAGAGGAACGCGCATCGGTGGGATATTTTGAGTGGATTGGTGACCAAACATACAGAAAAGGATACATACAGAAAGAAAAAAAAACAGGAGAGGAAAGAAGACGCCAAGTAGCGACTCTGGCATATTTTGAGGAAGTCTCCAGGTCGCACCTGCGCGCCGTGCGTGTCCTGTCTCCCAGGGGATAAAAGTGCGTACAAATTTTTACGCCGACTTTTACGCAAGGTGACACACCGAGCAGGAGGCAGCCGGAGACGCTCCTGGAAGCACGATGCTGATCGGTAAGTGTTGAGCACCTTGTGACTGCGCCGAGGCAGAGATCTCTCCGTCAGATGAGAGGGGAAAAGCCGCGTTTTGTCGCCGCTTTCAGCTGCTGCTCTGGCAGCGGCGCGAAGACGAGAGCAAATTATCCCCCCCAAAAGTGGCTGAATATAAAAAAATGAGGATTGTGCATATTGATCTTACAAGCTGAAGAGTCACAGTGAGTCATTAATAAAGTTATTTAGCTCATCGATCATAGCAATCGCTCTGGATTATTTGCAAGTTTTATGAAGCGTTGTATGCATCTTAAATCAAATGTCTGCTCCGTAACCGGGTTTTGACGCCAGAGTAACATTATTTTCACCTATCTATTGTTGAAAGTTGTGGTATCAGGGGAAATAACACTGGACACGAACGCAGCAGAGATTTCTTCTTTAAATCATTGGGAGAAATCTGACCAGTTCTCAATGGAAAATCTGTTCGGGAATTTCACATTGAAGCAAACTTATTAATGATTTATAATTTTCTAGAAGTTTATAAGTTTGGAGGTACAAACGGTAAAAAAAATAAAATAATAATAATAATAAAAAAAGAGGAAAGTAGATAGAAGCTGCAGCTGAACATTTAGAAGCTGTAAATAGCTCTGAGCAAGGATGCTTGAAGAAAATCCTCAACATCTCCAAGGATGTTTACTTTTTTATTTTCACTTTGTTCTCTCTATTTTGAGTACATTCCGTTGACATTTTGCTTTTATTTTCAGACTTGCTTGCATTGCATAGTCTTCCTGCTGGGTTTCAGAATTGTGATAGAATTTTTCAAGGTTAAAAAAAAAATTGCAGAGCAGTACATTTATATACCAGAACATTTCTTCACTTCATTTGCATGTTTAACTCCATCTTGTCTCAGATTATGTGAGAAAATGAAGGTGTATTTATCGTTTGTGTGGGTTGAGTTAATGGACCTGCTCTGCTGGGCTGATTTATTTCCAACCCTCAATCATATTTTTATGCACAAAAAAAAGAAGAAAAAGAGGAAAAGAGAAGAAAAATAATTGCAATTCTTAAATGAAAGTGCAAGTGCACTTTCTCCCTGTATGGCTGAGTAAAGCGTTTTACTCTTTCATTCCACTTTATAATCAAAGAACTCAAAGGTGTGCGAGAAATCTGAAGGTGAAAAGGCATAAAATGAAAAAGATTTCAAGAAATAATACTGAGAGAGATTTTTATGCTCACACTGACCAGATGTCTGAATATGACGAATCTTGTGTGGAGCTTTAAATGACATTGATCTAATAAAATGGCTTCAGTGCATGGGCAACTGTCACATGCAAATGGATGGCACATTGATATTTCCTTTATTTTTTTTCAAAAAAAAATTTTTTTTTCAAGGTGCAACATTCAGGGTTGTGGCATTTGGCTGATTGTGTGTCTTCTGTTGTATTAAAATGGCATTCCTTCTCTCTCTGGTGAAGGTTGTCTTCTTTGTCAGACTTCACAGGCTTTTTTCTTGTTCTAATTTAACCTCTGCTGTTGTATCACCTCACAAGCAAGTTGGGTCACAGGGGAGCGCTGTTGCTGCTGTGGCATCACTGTTATACAGTTTAGAGACAGGGTTTGATTCCTGTGTGCTCTTGCTTGTGAAACTATTCAACCATATCATCAGGCTTCAATTCAATGCTGGCCAACCCCCCACTTCCTCAGCAATCCCTCCAAACAGACGGCAGGTTAAGGGGCTGATTACAGGCTTGCCAATTTGAGAGTGGGTGACATTCTTCCGATTTGAATCCTTTTTTTTTTTCTTGTTTTGTAATCTTTTGGATCTGACATTAGGATGGGGGGAGGTCGAACTGGCAAATCCGCACAAAAGAGGGTCCTTGGTCTGATGGAGGTAATTACAAGGAGCTTGGATTACAGCCTGTGACCTCTATGTGGGGGCTGAATATACCCAAAAAGCAGACCTGGGGAGAGATTAAAAGCAGATAAGCAAAATCGATTTTAAAAGTTACCTTATTTGTTTAGTGACGCTGATTCAGATCCAGTTTTCTGGAATGGTCTTACTTGAAATCTTTTAAGTTGATATTTCCACTGCTGGTGTGTTTGAAGTGGAGAAGTTTAATGAAAAGGCAGTTCAATTGGACTGAATGAGGGTCACAACTCTGATCCTGCTTGATTCCTCTTTGTCTTTCTCTGTTCCATTTATAAGGCAAATAATCCTCACTATTAGCTCAATAGGGGTCTCCCTCTCCAGTCTTTGAGAACAACTGTCCTGCATATTTTAAACGTGTTCATAGTCCAACCTGAATCTATTGAATGCTTTATTCTTGGACTTCTGAAAACAAGTTGAGGAGAAAATTCATAGACTCAGGTATGTTGTGAAAGGAACTGGAGTTGGAGCTATTGTCAAACAGTCGTTTGTGACATTTCTTTCTTTTTTGTATTTGTTTTTTTTTTTATCTTAAGTTTTGTGGATGTCTGAATGAAACACTTTTTCAATTTAATGCTCCAGCCTGTTTTTGCCTCTAGGCAGCAGCAGCAATAGATAAATGTAAAATTACGTTGAAACTATTTTTCTCCAGAGGTGACATCTTCTCTTAGTTTTATGTTTTTCTGCCAGTCAAATTCCACCTACAAGTTAATATACTGAGCTTAAACTTATGTCTGTGGAAATTTCTGGTACGTTGTTCATCGTCGACCTCTCTCTGGGAGGACTTACGGGGTAATTTTCTGATTTAAGAAAGAAATAGTCTGAGTCTCAACTATATAGTTTTTGCAATGCATCACATTTTTGTTAATCTGACTGTTTGGCTGGACAGAATAAGGGTAAATATGTAGCATAAGAAAAATATTCTTGTATAGTTGTTAAAAATAACATATGTGCACTGATCATTTAAATAATAGGTATATAATTTGTATGTGTATTTGTGGATAAAAAAAGGCTATATACAAGAAATTTAAAAAATGGTCAAATAGCAGCAGGAAAGGTGTTTCACGAATAATAACTGATTGATCACAACAATATCCACACATCTGAAGTAAAAGGCTTGCACAAAGAAAAGAAACACATTTTAAAAGTTCACTGTCAAGATTGTAGTTTAAAGAGTTAAAAGATGATTGTTCTTATTGAATTGTAAAGCTATATTGTTGCTCCATTTTATTTATGTATTTTTTTTATTGTTTTGCAAGGAGATCAGTAGTTTATACATCGTCAATCACTGGCCCCAGTCAGAAAATTAAAAGCTGAATTAATCACATCAGTTCTGATGTGATTGCCTGGTCAACCACCAAAGTGTTTAACATGAGTTAGTGAATCTTCATCAGTGCATACAGAGAATTTGCATGCAGAGGTAATATAATTCTGGTACACTGCATGGGTGAGTTGCATAATTATGCTTCGATATCAGATGCCAAAAAAATTGCTGCTGGATGGTTCTTCACATAAAACTGCATATTTTCATAAGCCATAGAAGTGCAGGCACACAATAATGTCATCCTGCTAGTTATAGATATAGTAGCAATTTTCCACACTCATCAAGAAACTTTTACATTTACCTAGAAGGTTTTCTGAACCTCCCCTCCATGCTTCACATTCAGACATCACTGTCTTATAACAATCCAACAAGATTTACACACAATTGCACCACATTCAGATTCCTACTGGATGTGACTCTTTGACTAGTTAGGATGCTGCTACATGTTAGAAAAGCTCAACATGCTGTCATGGAAATGCTGCTGCAGGTATAATACTGACTCACCACCTCAGACCTGACTCACTACACTTTGTGATGTGTAGTGAGATCCAGAAAATATATCCAGAACATATAGAGAGCCCTTCATTACCAATAAGCAGAAAATTACCATATTTAAATATGTAAACTTAAACTAAAACCAGTAAAGAATGCATTAATTTCAGATCACTTGTACAATTCCCTTAAAAATTTGATTGAGTTTAAAGTGTGTCAGAGGATTTTATTTTAAACAAGTGAAATGATGTTCTGGGAAACTTCAGGTCCCCCAATTTAAAAATGAGAATATTACAGCTTAGATACTCAACTTTTATCTCTATGATGAAATCCATGACTGAAACCAAACCTGAATAGCTCAGTTAGAAAAGAAATGTAATGAATTATCAATTAAAACATATAAAAACCATCTATCACTTGAAGTTGAAGTGCAAGGACAATCTCTTTACTATTTAATTTGACAGCAAATACTTGCATTTATATCAGGGAAAATATGATTCAAATAAAAATACGATAATAGCATTCAAGCATTTATTTTCTAGTATTTGGTTCGAGTGTCTAGTTCTAGTACTTGGTCAAGCTGGAACAGTGATTTCTTTTCTTTCCTTCATGTCAAATGATGTTACTGAGGCATGTGACTGACAGATGAAGTTTTGCTTCTGAATTAAACATTTATTGAAATAAAGCAGACCAAATTAAGAAATGTCAGGAAGGTGTAAGGGCTTCAATCTCAAGAAGCATGTTTCGCAAATATTTATTGGAATATTGAAGTGAACAGAAAAACCATCAGCATGCAAAGAAAATGAGTCATTTTTAGATTGTGGGTTAATACTGTTACAATACAATGTTTTATAACCAAACATGTTTTACTCACTTCCTTTAGCTTGGTATAATTCACTGAAATGCAGAGCTTTGTTTCAAATTCTTCTTCTTTTGTTGAGCCCATGTTTTCAGTTTAAAAAGTACAGGAGCTTTGGCACTGCTGTTGAAATTGTTTTAGTGGAGGAGACTACAGTTGCACACTGATGGTAACATTGATAAAACCTGTATTCACCATTTTGCTGAGGACTTCACATCATCTTCATCTGACTGATATCTCTCTGACATTCCTTTTTCTCTTAGTAAATACACACAAACTGAGCTGCTTCATCCATATAGCACAGGAGGGTCTATGATGTAAGCTAAGTGTGTCTGTTTTGGCCCGTATGTTGTGTTTGAATGTCTTGTTCGAACAGTATGTGCCCCTTTCAGGCCTTGGGCCTCCTGTGGGGAAATTGCCCT